ATAAATTAATTGAGTAGATATTGCAATTTCTTGTAGACAAAATCGATCTGGGTAGCATTCCCAGGATCAAACTGTGATTCTTTGTGTAAGAACCAGGGTGACCCTGTTTAGAATACATGTGAAACTATCAAGATGTATATGACATTCCAGTTTATGAGTGTGAGGGAAAGTATTTATTTTTTAAATCCTTTTTAAAAAAATATTTTATTTTTTTATTTTTAGAAAGGGGAAGGGAAGGAGAATGAGAAACATCTATGTGTGGCTGCCTCTCCAGCGCCCCCTACTGGGGACCTGGCCCACAACCCAGGCATCTGCTGACTGGGAAGTGAACTGGCAGCCCTTTGGTTTGCAAGCTGGTGCTCAATCCGTTGAGGCACACCAGGCAGGGCCTGCTGAGGTCTTTTATATTCACAGGTGTTTCACAAATTTTAACATACCTAGTCTCCATCTTATACTGAAGTTAAAAATTTCCTGTGGGAATGACCATTCCTGCTTTAGGTGCCATCCTCGTGCCAACATTTCCACAGACGTTTGGAGGTTTTAGAGCAGAGGTTCTTAGATTACATTCCAACAGAATCTTTTTTTGTTTTGTTTTGTTTTTCTGGTTTATTGAGGTATAATTGACAAATCTGTAAGATATTTATGTTATTTTTGAGCTGTATTTATTTTCTGTATTTTAATTGAATCTTTATTGTATTTTTTCCATTACCATTTAGTCCCCTTTTACCCTCATGGCGCCAGCAATCACCACATTGTTGTCCATGTCCATGAGTCCTTTTTCCTTTGCTCAATCCCTCCACTGCTTTCACCTCTCTTAGTCAACATAGTAGGAGTCCTAGCCTCAGCAATCAGACAAGAGGAAGAAATAAAAGGCATCCAGGTTGGAAAGGAAGAAGTTAAAAAAATGTCATTATAGGCAGATGACATGATTCTACACGTACAGAACCCCAGAGATTTTACCAAGAAGCTACTAGAACTGATCAATGAATTCAGCAAAGTAGCAGGGTACAAAATTAATATCCAGAAATCAGTTGCATTTTTATATGCCAGTAACAGACTAACAGAAAGGGAAATTAAGAAAATAGTCCCGTTCACAATAGCTACAGAAAGAATAAAATACCTAGGAATATGCCTAACCAAAGATGCAAAAGACCTGTACTCAGAAAATTATAAGACACTGAAGAAAGAAACTAAAGAAGACAAATAAGTGAAAGCACATACCATGTTCATGGATATGAACAATTAACATCAGTAAAATGTCCATATTACCCAAAGCAAACTATAGATTCAGTGCAGTTCCTATCAAGATTCCAATGATGTATTTCTCAGAACTAGAACAAGTATTTCAAAAATTTATATGGAACCACAAAAGGCCCCACATAGCAGCAGCCATCCTGAGAAGAATGGAGTCGGAGGAATCTTGCTACCTAATGTCAAACTACTATAGGCCATAGTAGTCAAACAGCCTGGTACCGGCATAGAAACAGACACATGGATCAACAGAGCAGAAAGGAGCACCCAGAAATAAACCCACACATTCATGGTCAATGAAAGGAAGCAAGCACATACAGTAGACTAAAGATAGTTTATTCAATAAATAGTGTTTGGGAAAATTGGACAGATATGTTACAGAAAAATGAAACTAGACCGCCTTCTTACATCACACACAAGAATAAATTCATTATGGATCAAATACTTAATGTTAGACCCCAAGCCATAAAAATCCTAGAATAAAACATAGGCAGCATAATCTCAGACATTGCTTGTAGCAATATTTTATGAAATAGAGCTCCACAGGCAAGGGAAACAAAAGAAAAAATAAACAAATGGGACTACATCAAACTAAAAAGTTTTGGAACAGCAAAGGAAATCAACAGCAAATTTAAAAAGCAGACAGACTTGGAGAATATATTCGCAGATACATCTGATAAAGGGTTAATATCCAAAATTTACAAGGAACTTAAAAAATTCAACACCAAAAAAAGCAAACAACCCAATTAAAAAAATGGACAAAGGACTGGAATAGACACTTACCCAGAGAGGACAGATGGCCAATAGACATATGAAAAGATGCTCAACATCACTGATCACCAGAGAAATGCAAATTAAAACCACAATGAGAAATCATCTCACACCTGTCAGAATGGCTATCAATAAATCAACAAACAACAAATGCTGGTGAGGATGTGGAGAAAGGGCAACCTTTGTGTGCTGGTGGGAATGCAGACTGGTTTAGCCACTGTGGAAAGCAGTGTGGCGATACCTCAAAAAATTAAAATTGAATCTGCCTTTTGACCCAGCGATCTCACTTCTGGGAATATATCCGGAGGAACCCAAAATACTAGTTCGAAAGAACATCAGCACCCTTATGTTCATTGCAGTGTTATTTACAATTGCCAAGATATGGAAGCAGCCCAAGTGTCCATCAGTAGATGAGTAGATAAAACAACTGTGGGACATTTACACAATGGAATACTACTTGGCTGTAAAAAAGAAGAAAATTTTATCCTTTGCAACAGTGTGGATGGACCTGGAGAACATAAGCTAGTCAGTGAAAGACAAACACCATATAATTTCACTCATATGTGGAATCTAATGAACAAACTGAACTAACAAGGAAAATGGGGACAGACTCGTAGATGAAGAAAGACTAGGATGACAGCTGGGGGGAGGGGCAAAAAGGAAAAAGGACCCATGGACATGGACAACAGGGTGATGGTTGCCGGGGGGAGGTGAGTATACGGGAGCTAAATGGTAATGGAAAGAAATACTTGGTAAAGATTAAATCAAAGTATATATTGTAGTGATTTGATATACATTGTGAAAGGATCTCCACCATCTAGTTAATTAACATGTCCATCGCCTCTCATATTTACCTTTCTTCTGGCAAGAACATTTAAGTTTTACTCTCTTAGGAAATTTCATTTTTAACAGTTATTATCGACTCTAGGCACAGTGTTTTACATTAGAGCCTCAGACCTTATCTAGCAGAATCTTAACGGGAACTATCACAGTGGTTGTGAGCTTGGGCTCTGGAGCGAGACGGACAAAGGTTCAAATTCTGGCCCTGAGCAACTTAATTTCCTTAGGCCCCTTCCCATCTGTGTGTGTGGGGTGCCGTAGGGGTGTCTGGGAGGAGGCACTGACAGCCCCTGCCCGTGGCCTGCTGGGAGGAGCCTGTCTCAGGCGTGTAAGATGGCGAGCGCAGTGCCTTGCAGGAGGCCCCGGGAGGTTCTGAGCGCTGTTAAGCTGTGGTCAGTGGTACTGTGATAGTGCCTGGAAGTATCCATCTAGGTTCGCTGGCACTGTGTTTTCAGAGCTCCCAGGGGGATGAACTGGTGTCAGATTCCTTAAAATCTTCGTCTGTGATCTCATCTGAAAAAGAGGAGAAAGACTTCCCTCTGCTAAATGGCCACGTGCTGGTCGGAGCCATAACTCTGGCTAGTACTTGTTCATGCCGCTTAATTTATCAGGGTTAAAAAATGATGATTAGATAGCCTAGGGTACCAACTACCAATTTAATACCTTTCTCCCTTTGGGAAAAAAAAGGAGTCACATTTCTAAAATTCTAGTTTATAGATTAAAATTTTAACAAAAGGAGGCTCTATATTTAGAAGTGAGCAATTTTAGACTTTAGCTCATTAAAAATACCAGAAGGTAATTTTCTGGGGCAGTTTTGATATCCCTGCGATTTGGAAGGCACCCGTGTGTGGTGATATTGTCGGGAGCAAAGAGTACATCAGGCAGGATGGAAGCATTGGTGCTCCTGAGGCGCATGCACCTGCACTCTGCCCCGTCCAGGGCACGAACCCAGGTCAGCAGGCGCCTGCTTTTGCACATTCCGACTCAAAGCAGGCCTGGGAGGCCTTCATAACGGCTTGCTCATTGCTGTGGGATTTGTTTCTCCTGGTAAAGTATATATATATATATATATATATATATATATATATATACACACTTTAATTGAAATGCTGGGAGTACTCAAATTTGGATGATATTCTTTTCTTGGCACAGAACATCCTTAAAAACGACAAGAACTTGATTCTTGTGGGAAAATTAATCTTTTTAGCTTAGAGTTTGCTTTTTTGCCTACATTGGTTTCTTTGAAAGTCCTTGAGAAATGTTTCCCTTTGCAGTGAAATAAAAAACACACCGACTACAAAACCCATCATTCTTCGGTGTCATGATGAACACTTCAGTTCTTTAGGGTACATGTGGTCCCAGTTAATAGACGCTTGATTTTCCTTTGATTTGAGTTATTTTTAAAATAACAGTCATGTTTTACCAGTTGGCTCAAGTCTCCCCCCTTTATCCCATTATATACATAAGCAGTAGTAATCTTATTTCTTAAGATTACAGTGAATTTTAGCATCAGCTTTGGTTAGTAGTTGTATAAAATCCTGTATTTCTTAGAGATGTTGATATTGGGGCGACTTGGTAGACATGGGTAAAGCACTGTTGTCCAGAGGGGTCCCACTTCCCTCGAATGTGGTGTTGTGCCCTCGCTTGGCCTAGCGCAGGCCCCGACCGGGGCGCTGCTTCTGGAGAATAGAAGCATGGATCCGGGCTGGCTGCCCGCTGTGGCCTTCACAGCATGTGCCGAAAGGGTTCGTTTACGTGGCGAGTGGTGCTTGTGAGTTTTTAAATGTTCGAAAATACTGATGGAAGCCTTCAAGCTTGCACTGCCAGATTCTCTGGGAGTTTAAAGCAGCATGATAACAGAGATGTACATATTTTGAAAATGGCTACAGGTGGCTGGAACAAAACAGATTAACAGGGACATGCTTGAAGGTCAGTGGTTTCCTTTGGACACTCAAAAACAAGCATCAAAGCAACTCTTGAAATGCTTGACATCACTGTCTTGGTCTGGCTTGCCAGTTTCAGCTTTCAGTTACTTGTTTGCAATATGTTAGCTTATTGAACCAGAAAAAAAAAAACAACAAAAAACGCTCACTGGGTTTTCTTCATTTTGCCATTACCCTCTGTTTCTTTACTTGCAGAACGCCGCTGAGCCTGTGGCAGCCGCGGAGACCCTGGCCGAGGTACCTGAACATGTGTTTCGAGGACTTCCGGAGGAAGTGAGGCTCTCCCCCTCTGCTGTGGACAAGACTCGGATTGGTGAGTGCGAGGGTCAGAGGGGGGCTGGGGGATGTTTAAGGTGGGGAGCTGAGTGCCTGCCTGTCTTACTTATCTTCCTGTCCTCAGCGGCTGACGCTCTGTGGGCCTCAGTGGATGTTTGAATGAATGACAGCCTGGGTGTGCGCGCATGCTTCAGGCCAGGGTGGCTTGTTTAGTGCAAGGCAAGCTTTTGTGTCTTTGGTCTTGTTTTTGTGTCCTAATCTTTAGTCAGGAGGCTAAGGAAGTAAATGATAAAAAATCAAAATACAGTCTTGAGATATATCATATTTATATCCTATTTCCTTTTAAAAATATGTACTTCTGGTATTCCAATTTATATATGTGTGTGTGAATAAATTTCTAATAAATGCTTTTTCTAATTCTCATTGAAAATTATTCAGTGAGGTACTTGTGAGCATTTAAATTGTATCATTCATTCACATGAAAGCGTTCGATTTTAGAGTTCCACTAACTATTAGCTATGTTATCAAACGGGATTCATAGCAGACTCACAGAAAAGGGGAGTTCGTACATGCTGACTCAGCGTGGCTGGCTGAGACGCCACCCTCGTGTACGTGAAGAAACGGAGGCCAGAAGACAAGGGAACCCATTCAGAGTGATGTGGTTAGTGAGAGTCACTGCTGGGCGCTGGTCCCCTTGACCCGGGGTGGTCTCCTGCCTTTTTAGCCACTTCTGCTTTGTCTCGTCTGTTTGCCTTACGGTCAGTGCAGAGGAAATAGAAACACCCCGAAGAATACCACAGAGCAGTGTAGGTCTTGGTTCTTTGAAACTCTGCAAAGTGAGTTGTCCTAGGAGCCAGGGTTTTAGGAAACTTAGTGAGAGAGGAGAGGAGAGGAGAGTTTGCACTTTGAGCAAACTTCAAAAATATTTATTAAAAAGAAATAATTTCTAACCCTTTATAAAAGTAGCTCATGTTTATTGGAGATACTTGAAATCTGTAGAAAAGTAGAAAGAAGAGTTTAAAAGGTATTTGTAGTTTCACTACATGACAGTATTTTTTCTCTATAATTGTGATTGTGCTAGTCTCCAAGCATTAGTGACTATAATGTCTGTCTAATTTTACATGTAAAAATTAAAAGCAAGCAAACATAAAACATGCTTTCCCATTATAAAACAATACAGGTTCTTTACAGACTATTTGGAAATACAGAAGATATAAAGAAGAAAAATAAAAATGCCCATCGAAGATTTGTTTTAATTTGATGTCACTTGATCTTAGTTGATTTAACATTATCTTGCTTTTAGGCTGTCTAACCTTTTAACTGTTGGGTTGGCTGAAAAGTTCGTTTGTCTCCCATAAGATGGCTCTAGTAGTGCTTAGTTGCCTTTAACTTCATTTGAAACAATTTTGTTAGAGTTTATTGTGACAGCTGTCATATCATTGTGCATTTAAAAAAAAAAACCTTATCAAAATTGGTGACTTTTTGTGTAGCAATTTAAATATTGAGATGGAAGAAAATATACAACATTTTCAGGATATTATGCTTTATTATTTCAAGAAAGGTAAAAATGCAACCGAAATGTAAAAAGTGGTTTGTGCAGTGCATAGAGAAGGTGCTGTGACTTATTGAACATGTCAAAAGTGGTTTGCGAAGTTTTGTTCTGGAGATTTCTCATTGGACAGTGTCCACAGTCAGGTAGACCAGTTGAAGTTGATAGTGATCAAATTGAGACATTAATTGAGAATAGTCAACGTTATACCACATGGGAGATATCCGACATACTCAGAATACCCAAATCAATAAAGTTATTGGTGAAAATGAAAAATGTATCTTTCTTTTATTTTATAGGAAAAACTAAGTGGACTTTTTGGCCAACTCAATATTTTGTGAAATTAAGTTGATTTTAGTGCTTTAGTCGTTTCTTTCCAAACCACGAAGGGTGATAAGACAGTCTGAATCACAGCACCAGATGTTAGTGGGAGTGTTAGATGGAGGTTCTTGAGTTTGGCAAAGAGGGGATTCAGAGCCAAGAACTCTGGTGGAAGAAGTATATTTAGCCTTTTAGAAAGAAACTCACAGAGGCAGAAGGAGTGAGCCAGCTGGGCTGCGTGGGCTAAGGAAACAAGTTACAGAGGCAAAGGAAGGGCCTTTGGAGCTTAGAAGAAAGGAAGGAAAGGAAATGCGCCCAAGGAAAGAGGGGAGGAAGGTGTGGGCATGCTCTAGAGAAAGAAGAGTGCTAGTGCTTTAATCTTTAACTGCATACATTTTAAAAATATTGGTTTTATTTTCTAGGTGTCTGGGCCACTAAACCAATTTTAAAAGGCAAAAAGTTTGGACCATTTGTTGGTGATAAGAAAAAAAGATCTCAGGTTAAGAATAATGTGTACATGTGGGAGGTAAGAAAGAATTCTGGTTCTTTGTTTATCAGAGTTCTATATGATGAAAAAAAATTCTGTTACCTTAGGATTTGACATTTGAAATTAAAAAATAATTTTAATGTGTCCTTTAAAGTCAATAGTGTTTTTATTAAGGAGAAAATGTGTTTCCTTGGATACAGATCACTGTTTACATTTGTATTTTGAGACTTCGTGGCCATCCTCAACAATAAATGTCAAATCCACTCTTTATTCCGCCTTGTTCAGGTTATTTGCTTTGCAGCCAGGACTTTCATCTGTCACTTTATAGGCTTCCAGATAAGACACCATAAAAGACACCTCATGGTGGCCACACTGATAGGGTCTTCTCTGTAGTTTAGAAATCTTTGTGTTGTTGTTGGAATATTCAGAGTTGAATATATTTAGCACATGGCACATTTATATAGCTCTTTGAACTTTTCAAAAGGCTTCTATTCGGTTCCTTCCATGTTCTCGCAACCACATTGGGAGACAGAGCAGAACACGAGCACCCTCCGTGTGGAGGTGAGGTGGTTAAGAACAGAGGTGAGCCACTGTGCCCTGTGGGGACACGTGGAGAGTGGCCTCAGTCCAGAGCTGGCACCGTTTAGCTTTGTGACTTGGGCTAAAAGTTTTAGCCAAAAGTTTGGCTCAATTTTAAAATGTAGAGAATAAAGAAATATTAAGATAAACGTGAAGATAAAATGTTGCTGTTGTTTCTTGGAGAGCTGCATGCGAGTGGACCGTTTATGTGGCATTTAGTTTCGATCAGGTGCCCCCGGGAGCTCCCTGTGCTCCTCAGGAACTCTGTGGTGTGACTCCTTCTCGAAGCGAAGTTTTTCATTGGTGAGGAAAAGCATTCCTGTCAGATTGTCTTAAATTGAGTCACATCTGTTTCATATGTAAGCATATAAAAGCCTAAAAGTAAAATATGCGTAGGAAATGTCTGGACACTTTCCATCAAGAAGTTCTGTGGCATTTGTACGTTTGAAGTTTATTGCTCTTCTTCTCAATGCCATAAACAGTGTGTGTGTTTTTTAAAAGATTTTATTTATTTTTAGAGAGAGGGGAAGGGAGAAAGAGAGAGAGAGAGAGGGAAACATCCACGTGGGAGAGGAACACCGACGTGGGGGAGAAACACCGATTGGTTGCCTCTCGCACGTCCCTGGCCTGGGACCGGCCTGCAGGCCGGGCGCGGGCCCTGGCCCGGAATCAACCTGCGACTTTTTGGTCTGCGGGACAGCAGACAACCCTCTGGGCCCCACTGGTCAGGGCAGCAGCGTTTCCTAACTTGAAAATTCTGACAGTTTCTGCCAGTAATTTTGAGTTTCTTTGTTGCTGATCCCTTATAATAAATCTAATGACAATTAACCCGCGGGATTTTAGGAAATGAGGATTTACCCAGAGACGATCACATTGTGCTATTTCACCGCTTTTGAGGTAAGAGCGCGCTATATTTGTATTTGTAGAAAAGCAGCCCAGCCAGTAAAAGCTTTTACCCTGAGTGATTACAAATGTGTTGACTACAAAATTATGCTCCAAACTTTATTTTTAATTTTTGAAATTTCCAAAGGAAACTTAACAAATACGCTCTTTCAAGTTAGCGGTCGCCTGAGTGAGGATAACGTCAGGGACCCAGGGACTGTACGCTCCGGCTCTGGCTGTAGAATGCTACGCTTGACCAAGTGCCACTAATACCAAAGCCAAGCTTATGCTGCCTGTTTTACCCAGCGTAGCAGTTTGACATTGTTGGGCATCTTGTGTAGATTATTAATGGTGCCTTTTGTCCATTAAGCGTCATTTGCATTGAAATTCATACAGAGCATGAATTCATAGTAGCTCGATGAAAATTGTGATTTGGAGCCACGGCATATTAGGGATTCGATTTCCCCTGTAAACCTGTTACCATTCCATTGTTAACTTAAGATACTTCTGCTTAGATGCTGTCACAGTTTGTGACTCCTCACGGCAGTGTCAGACCTTGGGGTCAGGTTTAAAAATCCAGTTTTGATCAGGGCTGTCTTTTCCTTCCTGCAGTTTAAAATAGAAAAAAATCCGGGGGGAGGTTGCAGGGCTGGGTGAAATGGTGAAGGGACGAAGCGTATATATATGTGTGTGTGTATATATAATGTATGTATGTATATGTATATGTATATGTATATGTATATGTAATCTATGTATGTATGTATGTGTACACACACACACAGTTTACAGACACAGAACAATATGGTGGTTGCCAAAACGAGGGGAAAGGGGGGTGGGGGGAACAGGAGAGGGGAAAGGGGGGCTAAATGATGATGGATGGAGACTCAGCTTGGGGTGGTGAACACACAGTACAATATACAGATGATGGATGAGAGAACTGTACATCTGAAATCTATATAATTTTATTAACCACTGTCACCTTAATAAATTCAATAAAAAAGAAAAATCTGGATGTCATTTAGATAGTACCAACTACACGGTATATTCCATACAGAAACCTTTAAGCCTTTTGAATATACAGTATATGAAGAAATAGCATTTGAAAGAGTACAAGGAGCATAAATTATAATGTATTTATTATGTATTTGTAAAGAAGAAAATAAGAATCCAGGTAAAATTTAGTATTTTCCCCATTTATTTATTCCAACCTTGGTCTTACTCTCAGACTTGCATCAGAGCGCCTCTTATTAATGTAACAGAAGCTGCTTATCATTAAAATCCCATCTTGGCATTTGTTCTTCAGTTAAAGCCCTTTGGCACAGCTTCTCTGCTGGCAGCCTGGTCTTTTGCCCCAGCTAGAACCCCATTGCAGAGCCACTCAAAGGCAGGGTTGGATCGCTTTTCTTGAGCCCGTGGTTATCCAGCGCAATCCTAAGTCCGCTAAGCTCTGACTGAAAACATTTTATTATGTGAGAAATAATGGAGAAAAACAGTAGCGTGTCCTCAGGGTGAATGGAGAAAAACCCAGTGAGGTTCTCCGAAGAGAAGAGCATTCTTTGCTCAGTTTCTGGGGGGAGCTGCTGGCCCCCTGAAATGCTGGCCTTCACGTGAGGAACACCTCCCCTGCTGCCCGCAGCGCGGAGCACTCGCCAGTATTCTAATGCAGCTGCCCTGACAGCCTTTCAGCTACCTCGGTGGGGCTCAAGTGGCTTCTGGGGAGCAGAACTTTTGGAATGTTTGCCTATGAATTGTTTTTAATGTCTTTTTTTTAAGTACTTTATTTTTTCGAGCAGTTTTAGGTTCACAGCAGAAAGTACAGAGATCCTTTAAAAACATCCCCCCCCCCCCGCCCCCGCCTTCTGCATACACACAGCCTCCCCCACTTCCCGCCAGCATCCTGTCCCGGAGCAGTACCGTTGTCACAATCGATGAGCCTGCATTGACACATCATTATCACTCACGTCCATAGTTTACATGCGGGCTCATTCTTGGTATTGTGCATTCTAATGTTTTTGTGTTTTTACTTACACATAATTTCTTTCTAATGTTTTTTTGGTTTTACTTATGCATCGTTTCTTTAAAAAAATTTTATCCTCACCTGAGGACATTTTTTCATTGCTTTTATAGAGGCAGGGAGAGAGGAAGGGACCAAGAGAAACATCGATGCGAGAGAGAAGCATCGATTGGTTGCCTCCCGTATGTGCCTGGAGCAGGAATTGAACCTGAAACCTAAGCATGTGCCCTGACTGAAAATCGAACCCGCAACTTTTTGGTTATGGGATGACGCTCTAACCAGCTGAGCCACACAGGCCAGGGCTACATTATTATTTCTTAATGCTGCTTAAAATTCTGTTGTACCTTCCACTGTTTAACCAGTTGAACATTTAAATAGTTTAATTTTTTCAGGATAATAACAGTTCTTCAAAGTATGGAATGAACTCTGTATACATACTAGCTGACTTGTCTGGTAAAAATGTCATGAGTGCACATTTCTTCCCAGCTTTTTAAAACCTGATATTGTTAATCTTTTAAGTAGGTTTTCCCCATTGTTATAGATGAACACTGGTAATTCACTGTTTCTGTTTGCGTATTTTCATTCAGGCAACAAATTTTAAGTCAGGAGGATAGAGAGAAGAGGTAGTATTGCATTTCAACTAAAATTGATGGAGAAATTTTATCTGTGTAATGAGAAGACCTTAATGTAATTTTTAAAAGAATTTTTTTATTGTCACTTTTAAATTAGGGTAACAAGCTCCTTGTGGAGTTGTTTGGCTACAAGTTAGATGATGTATATGAAATTACTTGACATGGATGTTGCTGGCTCAGTAAATATTCATGGTACCTGAACATCAGAGAAAAACACTTTAATTATCACGTAGAGGATAAAAACATTTTTTGGGGTAGTTGATTACTTTTTAAAAGATTATCGATGTTTCGTTTTTGCTTAGAATTTTTTCTCTTCTATTGTATGGGCTGTATTTTGAACCAAAAAGTAAGAATACTTTCGGGGGAGGAATCCTGAAATTGCCTTCTGAATGCTTTGAGTTACTCACTCAGGGGCCGCATTGGAGGTGAAGGAATGCTGTGCTGGGCGTGCCAGTGGAGAAGTGAAGCTGCTGTCTCCCCTGGAGTCCTTTTGACAGTCTACACGGACGGAAATATAATTAGGTGTTGTCTGTCTCCGGGAGCAGACAGGGAAAGTGGGAAATAGCATGTAGATCATAATGTTGGAAATTCACAAGCTAAATCCCCAGAGAAATCAAGATGAAAAGGAGCCTCCGACAGTATGACAAACTAGAGCCGCTAGACTGGAGCTCGGACCCCAGGAGAGGGCCCGTCTCCACCCTGAATGTGTTAGAGCGGTAGTGGGAGGGGCAGCCTGAGACCACCCGCCCGCGGAGTGGCTTCCTTACCGCAGACTCTGACTGGGGGCGGCTGGTCTGGGTGAATGAAAGCCTTGCCTCAGCACGAGACTGTGCAGCGTGGAGAGGTGTCTTAATCACCCTTCCTAATTCGGGGGAGTGGTTTCTGTCAAAGTAAATTGGTTCCTGCCAGTGAGGTTGGGTCAGGGCCTTGGAGGCAGACAGTTCAGGGTTCAAATGGTGGCACATTTGCGTGAATTGAATGAGAATTACTCTTTTATTTTACAAATTTGAATTTATATATACAATATAACATGCAAATAATAAGGAAGGATGTAAGTTAAAACCCTCATTCCCAACCCCTAAGGACAGTTATGTTTAACACTTTGTTCTTTGCAAACCTTTCTCTGTGTGTCATGAGTATTTACTTTTGAATGTGTTTTTAAATTGGAGTGTGTACTAAATTTTGAATTTAGATAATTTTATGACTTTTGAAATGACTGGATTAAATTGAGTGGAAATTGAATTGGGCGGTATGAAAATTCTGTTCTGTTTTACAGAATTAATAGTCTGTGTTTGATAGCAGAGCAGAAAGGAGGTCAGGCCTGGGTAACCTCGGGAAGGGTGAGCGGGGTACGAGGCTTTGGAAGGAGCCAAAACAAAAGTAGGCGTGAATAAGGGAGCCAGGTTTGAATCCTGGCTCTGATGTTCAGTGACTTCAGTATTCTAGTACAATTACCAACGTTCCCTGGTGTCCTCCTACATGAAAGGGATTTAATAATATTTCATAGGGTTCTTGTAAAAGTTAAATATAATGAAATAACACATAAAGCATCTAGTCCAGTGCTTGACATAGAGGTGCTTCCTTTCCTTCAGTTCTTTCTTCCTAAATAGGGAATTTCCATTTGAAAGTTACCTTGTCAAAATAGTTTCATAATACCTAGTATATAGTCAGGTACTTTTGCTTTGTTAAAAGGGACTGTTTTATAAATTGGATCGCAAAAAATTATTGATTACATGGAACATTTCTCCTTTGGATCAAATCAGCTGAGTGTTTCTTGGTTATCATAAAGATGTGGAAATAGATTTGTTACATATCCTCTATGGAGTTTGAGCTGGTGGTGGGAGTTTCACCTGCCTTTGCATTGTCTTTGTCTGAAGAGGAGAGATTCTAGTTGGTCTCCACTGCCTCTCCACCACCCGGAATTAATTGGAAACCAAGGTTTGACCAACTAAGAGAGTAATTGTACATAGACGCATTTCTTTCCCTTCTTCTCCCTCCCTCCCTTCTCTCCTTCTGGTCCCCTTCCCCTCTCTCTCTAAAATCAATAAAGCAAAATCAAGACTTCCATCTTGAATTTAGTAAAAAGTAAAACAGACTGACAATGTTAAAAGACCAACTATTCCCTTTTTACCATGCTGACAAACATGCCAAAAATATCTCTCAAACATTTTTACGTAGAGCAGCTTATGATATTTTGGCGTGTAAAGTTTAACTTTCCGTTTTGCACTGTGATGCTCTCTCTTCATAACCTACCATTTGGGGGCCACTCTTTCTCTTTGTTTTAAGGGGGGGGTATGTGTGGGTGACGTGGGCAGCCTCTCTTTAGAAGGGCGCAGATGGGTGTTTTAGTAACAGCTAGTTTTTGAGTCAACTCACTGAGGGTGCTTATAGTGAGAATAGTGAGAATAATCTCCTGGCACTTGCGATGATTAAGTAAACTAACCGCAGCGCACCTGCTAGCATGGTTCCTGTCACATAGTAGGTGCTCAGTAAATGATGGCAGTTACACTCTTGTGTGTAATGCTATTGTTTCATCCACCCCATAGTTATCCATTGAGAGCTTACTCTTTGCCAGGCACTGGTCAAGGTGTTGTAGGTGCTGCAGGGAATGGGAAGGCTAAAATGCCTTCTCTGGGAGCGAATTCTTGGCTGTGGGGAGACAGGCACTGAGTAAAAGAAGTAAGTAGATGATCCCATACTTTAAAAGAGCATAAGTGCTCTGAAGAAAAATAAATTGGGGGGATGGCTGGGCTGCTGATGGGAAGAGAAGGATTTGCAGTTTTAACTCAGGTGGTTAGTGAAGGGGCCGGTGAGTAGAGGTCAAGAAGATCTGAGGGTAAGCCCATCTTTACTCCTAATGAATTTGGCGACGTTGGGAGAGTTACTTAACTTTTGATCCTAGCTACTGACATGTTATAAAAAGATAATAATGCACCTGCTGCTGCATACAGCTAAGTGAGCTCATATGGAAAGCACGTAGAGTTGTGCCTCACGTCCGACTCCGAGGGGAAGAGAGTCCGGCTGGTGGCCCGCGAGGTGGACACTGGCCCTGGTAGCCAGAGCCTGAGTCACGGGCCTGGCGGAGAGCGGGTGCGGTCGCTTTGTTCAGGAGGAGGGCTGCAGTAAAGGTGGGGGTTTCGTGCGGGTGGGAGACCAGGAGAAATGGGTCTCGGCTGTGCGTGTGTAGGGAAGACGCGGGAGCATCGAGGTTCCTTTTCTTCTTCCTAAAGAGAATGTAAAAGACTCATTTTCTTTGCTTTGTTTTTGATAGGTCTGTCACCAATTGATTCTGTAACTTTATTTTAGTACCTAATCAAGGGTTTTATGGTCTAGTTTTGGGAAAGAAAAACCTGTATATATGTAAATACGTATGTACAAAGAGAAAGTTAAAAATAGTTGCTAAGTAGCTTTTCTTTAAAAGGAAGGGTGGTTAAGTGCTAGAAGCAGCTGGGAGAAGGAATTGAATGGATGATGGGGGAAAGCTTCCTGCAGCAGTAGATTTGACGTGACTCCTGAAAGAGGGGCGGGGCGCATGGTCTTGTGTTGGAAAGACACTGCTGTTTCCCAGAGGACGTTCCCTGGCACCTCAGGTGTGACAGGCCCTGGATACGGAAGGGTTTAAGGGTGACCCGGCTTTGCAAAAGCGTCATACCCTGTCATCCACTTGAAGGGCCACGCTACCCGCTTACTCACTGGAGATCCTGTCAGCCCTCCAAGGAAGGGACCTGCTGAACTGCGGAGCCTGCAGGGCTGGGCGATATGCGCAGCGACCCAGCAAGCTCCAGGGGTGTGGGTGCTGCCAGCTCCCTCTTCCAGCTCTGTCTTCAGGGAATAGAGCTGTCACTTGTCTTTGTGTACGTATTCGTGAAGCATTTGGAGCTCATTCAGCATGTTTACCATAGCTCTTCAAGTTTAGGAAGGAAAAAATCGCTCAAACAAGCACTGATAGGAAAATAGCTAATGAGGATTGCAGTTTTGAATTGTAGTTTCTATCTTTTATTGTTCTTTCCTCTGCTGCTTATTTATTTTGTTTCTGTGAACTGCTTTATAGAGTATTTACATATAACGAAAAAGAATTGTCTTAAAAGTTGCAAATGGAAACATTTTAAAGATACTGCCATTTTAACAAGGGTGTTTTCTCTCCCTCCCCGAGGTATATTATCCGAATTTGGGATGGATGTGCATTGACGCCACCGACCCAGAGAAGGGGAACTGGCTGCGCTATGTGAACTGGGCTTGCTCAGGACAAGAGCAAAATTTATTTCCCCTGGAAATCAACAGGGCCATTTACTATAAAACTCTAAAGGTAAGAGTGTTAGAATCAGTCTGCTCTTAGTTACTCTGTGTGCAGTTTTTGCAAGTGCTGTCCTTAGTTGTGACTGACAATGACAACTTTGCAGACTTTGAAAGGATGATGTCTAAAAGTGGTTCATCATGGTCTGGCCTTTAACTGTCCAGTCGCCACGGCTGCGTGTGCATCAGGGCACAAAAGTGTGACAGTCCTGTGAAGTGGTCCCATGTTGCATTTTTGTAGATGCTGATGAGTTAAGCATGTGGCAGCTACTTCCCCCGCTAAGAAGACAAATGCATTAGGAACTGTCTAATGGGCAGATTTAGTCAACTGCAAGAAACTGTCCAGAGCTGTGGTAGCGCACCGTAGAGATGAACAGAGTAGGACAATCCTTTCTGAGGGTTTGCGGTAGGGTCAGAGGTCACTAAGTCTATTCCGGGAAGTCAGTATTAGGAAGTATTGAGTGTGGCTGCATTTCTGCAATAAGCAAGCCCCTGTCTGTCTCCCTTGTCACGTTTTCTCCGAAGGCAAATCTGTACGCATCGCAAATCTGTATGCATCGTGCACAGACATGCTCTGGAAGGCGGAGTCTTGGGGCTCTAAAGTTAAGATGCTTGTTGCTTTTTAAAATAGGTACATTTGCTAAAATTGCAGTAAGGCGAATTTCTCTTTATTTACTTACTTTCATTAAAAATGTCATGGTTTGGGGGACAGTCCATGAAAAAAATTATTTCTGTGGAGTGGAAAAGTCTAGCTGAGCGAGTGTTGAAGATGGTGGGCAGCTTTGTGGCGAGCTCGGCTTTGCCTGCCTGGGAGCGGCAGGGCCTCTGGACGTTGAGGGAGCGCGCGGCTGCTTAACATCCCTGTCGCCTGCAGCCAGTTGGGCTTGCCCTCTGCTCATCTGTGCCCACATCCTTGCTTCCAGTCCCTGTAGGAACTATATTTTTATTGTACTTTCTCATTTAAAACATCTACAACCTTCTTTCTCTTCTCCCTTCTGTATTATAATAGCATGATTTTCTAGTAGGTGTAACTATACAGTTTTGTTATACTGGAATTTGAAGTTGGATTCAAGAATTCATTGTGTGTCTCAGATTAGTTTGAAGGGAGAGTCCCACCTGGTTGCATCAGTGAGGCAGAGTCCTGTTGGAGGGGAAGGGCCAGCAAGGGGGTGGATCTGAGATGGTCAGGGGAGCAGAGATGAGGGTGCAAGGGAGAGCAGGTGCGGGGAGATGTTGGGACACTGGGAAGTTTCTTCATCAGCCTGTCTCTGATAGCAAATCTGAGAAAAACTGAAAAGCAAGGGAGTGCGTATTTGAGAGAGTGAACTGGGAAGCCTGACTTGCGGATTGGACCCTGGCTTGCCGTGTGACTAAGGCACGCCATTGTAACTTCACCAGCTGTGTAACCTTAGGCAAGTCGCCTTTCTGTGCCTCCGTTTGGTTATTTGTAAGATACAGAAAATAACAGGATCACCTTCATAGGATGATCCTGGTGATTTCGTAGGTGATTATGGGTAGAGCTCTAGTGCCTAGTAAGTGCTGGGTAAGTGATAGTTGCTATCTTTGGCGAGGTGGTACGGGGTCATGGTTGGGGTGGGGACTGTAGCTGACTGCTTGTGAGCAGGTTTTGGCTTCGAGATGTGCGACTGTGAGAAATTAATTAAGCTCCATGTGTCTTAGTTTTTTCATCTGTAAAAATGGAGGTAATAGTAAACTTAACACATTCAGTTGTTGGGAAGATTAAACAAGATGATGTGTATAACGTTCTGTGAAGCGTTCCTTGTCCAACCCAATTACTCACAGTTGTTAACTAGCTTTACTGCGGCTGTTATTTTTACCCGTCGTCATCTGAAGTAATGTAGTTCTGATCTTTGCAGACTTCCCCCATACCTGCCCTCTAATGTTTGCTCAGGGATGCACGAGACCTTTCAGGTTTCTTGCTAGTGATTATCTAACACAGATGAGGCTTTCTGTGGGTTAGATTTTGTAAATGAATTACACTGATGTTTCTCTGGGCTCTGTATCACCTTCTCAACTATCACCCAGATAACTGGAAAATCCCAACGCTGGTTTGTTTTTAATACGATTAAAAAGAACTTTAAATTTCTGGATGTTAACTGTTAGCCTGCTTCATTCTTCTCTTCATTAGTTTAACAAATATTTGTTGTCTAGTATGTACCAGATATTCTTCTGTGGTAGTGAACAAAACAGATAAGATCTCCGTCTCATGGAACTTCCTATTTATGGGGGCAAGGCAGATAATAAGCAAGTGAATAAGTAATCAGAACAATTCCAGATCGTGGTAAACGCTTTGAAGACAGCGACCTGTGATGAGCCTGGGTGGGGGAGGGCTGCGGCCGCTCCCGTGGGCCAGGGAAGGCAGCCCTGGTGGCCCCCGTGGCTGGGCCGTGGCGGCCACGCCGAGGTCTCAGCCAGCAGAGCAGTCCTGGCTGACAGGCCCCCATAGAAACAAAGATACCGAAGAAGGAATATGCTAGAAAATAAGGGCTAAAACAAAGGCAGTTGTGGCTGGATCTAGGGGAAGAAGAGTAAATGAGGCTGGTGAGATGGGCAGGGGCCATGTTAGGTGAGGTGGGGCGGTCAGAAGGGCGAAGAAGGTACGAGTTCTAGCTTTCAGTTCAGCTCACCCATTTGAGAGTTGAGGCTTCTGACCTGTGACTTTTAAAAGGGCACATAGGGGAGCGGGCGGGGGGGAGTGGGCGGGGGAGGAGAAGCATGAATGTGCTTTTTGAGTTCTGTTAATTTTGGAGGATTTTATTTTGACCTAGTGTGAGAAGTATTTTTTGGAACCCTTGCCTCTATCTGTTGGGTCTGTTAAAATTCCAAGTTTATATTTATTGGTATTTAGACAGGAAAGTATGCTTGGTTATGTAAGGCCTGTCAGAACCCAGAGGAATAGTTGGGAAAGTTTAAAGTCTTTCTGTTTATTTTTTTGTTAAACATCAAAATATAATATATGAAAGAAGAGGTTGTTTGGACTTTTTAGTTTTTTTGTCTTATTTTTTAATCATTTTGTTAGCGTTATTCTATCACAGTTGTCCCAGTTTTTCCACCTTTGCCCTCCTCCACCCCCACAAACCTCCCTTCCACAGTCGATTCCCACACTCTTGCTCATGTCTGGGGACCATTCATACGTGTTCTTTGTCTAGTTCCTTCCCCTTCTCTCCACCATTTTACCCCTCCCCCCATCCCCTACGGTCACTTTCAGTCCGTTCCATGTTTCCATGCGTGTGGTTCTATTTTGTTCGTTAGTTTACTTTGTTCATTAGATTCCTTTTATAGGTGAGATCGTATGGTATTCATCTTTCACTGCTTAGCTTATTTCACTTAGCATAATATTCTCCAGTCCCATTCATGCTGTCATAAAAGGTAAGCATTCTTTCCTTCTGCTGTGTAGTATTCCATTGTGTAAATGTACCACAGTTTTTTGACCCACTCATTTACTGATGGGCATGTAGGCTGTTTCTAGCACTTGGCTATTGTAAATAACACTGCTGTGAACATAGGGGTGCGTAACTTCTTTTGAATTGGTGACTCGGTATTCTTAAGGTGTATTCCTAGCAGCAAAATCGCTGGGTCAAAGGCAGTTCCATTTTTAGTTTTTTGAGGAAATTCCATACTGTTTTCCACAGTGGCTGCACCAGTCTGCATTCCCAGCAACAGTGCACTAGGGTTCCCTTTTCTCCACATCCTTGCCAGCACTTGTTGCTTGTTGATTTATTAACAATCGCCATTCTGACAGGTGTGATGTGATACCTCATTGTGGTTTTAATTGCATCTCTCTGATGGTTAGTGATGTTGAGCATCTTTTCATATGTCTGTGGGCCCTCTGTGTGTCCTTCTTGGATTGGTGTGTATTCAGGTCCTTTGCCCATTTTTTAATTTGATTACTTTTCTTCCTGGTGTTGAGTCTTACGAGTTCTTTCCATATTTTAGAGAGCAAACCCTGTCCAGTGTTTTATTGGCAAATATGGTCTCCCATATGGTTGGTTCCCTTTTCATTTTGATGATGGTTTCTTTAGCCTTGCAGAAGTTTTTTATTTGATGTCGTCCCATTTGTTTATTTTTTCCTTTATTTTCCTTGTTCTAGGAAAATATCAGCAAAATATTGCTATGTGGATATCTGAAATTTTTCTGCCTATATTTTCCTCTAGGACTTTAATGGTGTCATGACTTATGTTTGTCTGTCATCCATTTTGAGTTTATTCTAGTGTATAGTGTAAGTTGGTGGTCTATTTTCTTTCTTTCTTTCTTTCTTTTCTTTTCTTTTCTTTTTTTTTTTTTTTTTGCAATTATCAGTCCAGGTCTCCCAACACCACTTATTGAAGAGACCATCTTTACTCCATTGAATGCTCATGCCCTGCTTGTCAAATATTATTTGACTATAGAGCCATGGGCTCATTTTTGGGTTCTCTGTTCTGTTCCATTGACCTATGTGTCTGTTCTTATGCCAGTACCAGACTGCTTTGATTATAGTGGCCTTGTAATATAGTTTGATATCGGGTACTGTGATCTCTCCTACTTTGTTCTTCTTTCTCAAAATAGCTGAGGCTATTCAGGGTCTTTTTTGGCTCCATATAAATTTTTGAAATGTTTGTTCTATATCTGTGAAATATGCCATTGGTATTTTAATAGGAATTGCGTTGAATCTATAGATTGCATTTTAATGATGTTAATTCTCCAGTCTATGAACATAGTATATGCTTTCATTTATTTGTACCTTCCTTAATTTCTTTCTTCAGGGTTCTATAGTTTTCTGAATACAGGTCTTTTACCTCCTTGGTTTAATTTATTTGTAGGTACTTTTTTTTTTCATGGCTATAGTTAATGGGATTTTTTCCCCTAGTTTCTCTTTCTGATATTTATTGTTGGTGTACAAAAATGCCATCGATTTCTAAATGCTGACTTTGTATCCTGCTCTTTTGCCAGATTCACTTACTAGGTCGAGTAGTTTTTTGGTGGAGACTATAGGGTTTTCTGTGTATGCTATCACGTCATATGTGAACAGTTCTACATCTTCCTTTTCTAATTTGGATGCTTTTTATTTCTTTTTCTTGTCTTATTGCTGAGACTATAATTTGCAGTACTATGTCGAATAAACGTGGTGAAAGCAGACACCCTTGTTTTCTTCCCGATCTTAAGGGAAAAGCTTTTAGTTTTTTCCCATTGAGTGTAATGTTTACTGTAGATTCCTTGCATATGGCTTTTATTATGGTGAGGTATGCTCCCTCTATTCCCACTTTGCTGAGTGTTTTTATCATAAATGGGTGCTGGATTTTATCAAATGCTTTTGCAGCATCTATTGATTAAAAAATGGAATACTTCACGAATTTTCATGTCATCCTTGCACGGGGACCATGCTAATCTTCTCTGTATCATTCTGATTTTAGTATATTTGCTGCTAAAGCAAGCACTGATTTTATTTATTTTTTAATGCAGATTTATATTTCCTGTGTTTAAGGACAAAAAAAATTTCTTTTAAAATTTGACTTATTAAAAAAACAGTACAGAAGCAAACAATAATTGATTGAAAAAGATATATTATTTCCTTCATAAAGGTCTGTTACTTATATAGCTGTTTTAATCTGAAGTTGGGAAGTATATAGCCCAATAATATAATAATCACCTTAGTTGCTGACAGTTTGGAAGGTTATTCAATAGCTGACAAATCACATTGCTTTCAGTCTAGCTATTCACAAGCTCATTAGCCATTTAGAAATTTTATAATATATTTAGGTAAAAACAGATTCTGGTTTGTTTTTATCTTGTGTGTTTTGACAAACAGAAGGGTGCCCTCCTATGTAAAGAGTTTGTGTTGATGTTGAACCTTGCCCAGTTGCTAGGACGGTGGCACTCTGAGGATGGGAACGCAATGACCACGGAAGCTCGAGCTCTGTGTCTGGGAGGCTCCTGGAAAACGCCTGGTGGTATCTTCCCCCAGTGTCGTGCTTACGCTGTTGGGTTAGGAGGAAGTTGGGAATATACTTTCTTCCCTCACTCCTTCCCATGTTCTTTTTTACTTTGGTTTTATTTAAGTCTTTACATATTTCTGCAAACTCTAATCACTTCAAATATTTTATGATACCACCATGTCATGAATATGTAACTTAACAAAAAATAGAGAAGCAAACTGTACATTTGGAATCATAAATGGTTTTATTTAAATAAAAAGGCCTGTTCCGTCAACAGAAATATATTAGCTCATCAGAGTGCCAAAAGGTATCTGTAATGGCTGTTTTAACTCACAAAATCTGATATCTTTTAACTCATTAAAATCTTATCTATATGAGGTTAGTTTTTTCTGTTTAGGTTTAACAGAATCAAGAGGGGAAACAATAGTATATTGGGTTAAAGGTAAGAAAATGGCGGGTTTTAACCATCCTTGGGGGAGTGAAGGCACTAGCAGTTGGTTTTATTTTAAAGAATTTAGAATATTTAAAATTTGAACTGTATAAACTGAGAATGAAACAAAATAATACTATTTTCAAGGGCATTATCTAGACTAAAATGTATGTTGAAGTTTAGGAACTGTATTGTTTCTAAACTAACGTCTTAGGTGGAATTTGCCCTGCTCCTAAAAACAAAGGCATCCTCTTCCATGACCCATGGTGCAGTGACCAAAATCAGGATGGACAGACAGTATTGTATTAGCTAATCCATACACTCTATTCAGACTTTGTCAGTTGTTCCAATGATGCCTGTATAGGAAAAGAAAACTCAGTTACGTTCAAGTATAATGTCTTTTATCAGTTTCCTTAGTTTGGCTAGTACCTTAGTCTTTGCTTTTATGCCCTTTTAGTTTTTAGAGAACTGGTCAGTTATTTTGTAGAATGTCCCACAGTTTGGGTTTCTCTTGTGCTTCATCATGATTAAATTATATTTATGCATGTTGGGCAGAAATCTCCAAAAGTGATGCTGTGTTCTTTTCTCTGCATGTATCAGGAGGCACATAGTGCCTAGTCTCATTATAAAGATAATGTTTTTCTTTTGTGATTAATAAATGTCTTTGGAGGACAGATTTTGAGACTTTGCAAATATTCTGTTACTCCTCAGACTTTTACCATCTTTTCCCAAGCTTTAGCATCTATTGATGATTTTTGCCCAAATCAGTTATCACTGAGATGATTGCCAATTTTTTTTTTAAATAGAATTTATTGGGGTTACATTGGTTAATAAAATCCCGTAGTTTTCAAGTGTATAATTCTTTAATACATCATCTGTGTATTGTATTGTTTGTTCATCCAAAGTCTAGTCTCCTGTCACTATCCCCCGTTTACCCTCTTCTACCTGCCTCCATTATTTCTTTTCCATTGATTACTTGGGAGTTGTTTTAAGGAAGAGCTTTCCTTCTTATTTATTTACTTGTTCGTTCATTCATTCATTCATATTAGTATGGCCTTATTGATTCTTATTTTATTAATTGGATTTTAGGTGAAATGTTATTTATGATGCTCTTGGAACTTTTCGAACAGTTGAGTCATTGTGAGAGAAACCAATAAGCCACTTCCTTAAATTCTATTTAGAAGAGTAATCTTTCCACTCAGTATGTTTTTTCTTCAGGATCTAGGTGTAATCAGGATGTTGGCGGTATATATCCTTACTGTTTATATAGCTGTTAAGAATTAATTGTTTAGGAGCATAATACATGTGAGGTGTTGTTAGGTATTTCCTTCTAAATTTAACTCGTCATGTAGACTCGATGTATGGTACAGAGGGCAAGACAGTAAATTGTCCATGGGTCCGAGCAGGTTGGTCCAGTGCATAGATAATATATTGCCAGGACACTTGTGTGCCCTTTTCTTTTAGCTTTTCCGTGATATAATTAGCGGTGACTTATAAATGTGCAGTGGCATATAGTTCTTCCTTATCGTGCTTAACTTGCTCTTGGAATCTGAACCGTGAGCTGGTAATTAGATTTCAGCGCTTCTCTTTCCAAACCTCTTGGTTCTTTCTGATTGTGCTTTACAATTCTCATCTGCTAGATTTCGTGGGCAAAATGGTTCCGGGTTTGTTTGTTTCCTTTTGCATGGGTAGCCTTGAGGCTTTGAACAGTAAGATTCGGCAGCATATGGCAGTTCTGAGTTGCGGTCTAGTTTAGTCAGATCCATAGAGAGCCCAGCGGATCCCTGAGAGGAGGCTGGCAAGAACTGAGGTCCTCCCTCCAGCAGAGGGTCCCTTCCCGAAGTCGTCCAACCCGCAGCGGCGGAGGGTTTAGGAGCCCTTCCTGCCCGGCTGGCCTCGGTCTCGCAGCCCCGCCCTGCCCCCGCCCCACCAACAACCGCCGACCTGATTGGCGAAGCGCCTGTCTCTTCTCTCCCTGCAGCCAATCGCGCCGGGCGAGGAGCTCCTGGTCTGGTACAATGGGGAAGACAACCCCGAGATAGCAGCTGCGATTGAGGAAGAGCGAGCCAGCGCCCGGAGCAAGCGGAGCTCTCCGAAAAGCAGGAAAGGTAGGAACCCTCCGCCGCCCGCTCCCCCGCCGCTCCTGGGCTGGCCAGGTCTGGACTTGGGTGGCGTCTGCAGCTCTCGGTGACCTTTTCCGGACCGGCAGCCGGCGTGATCTGGCCCCCCTCCCCCCGGGCCGCTGCTGAATCACGGCTCCGGACGCCACTCGGGCTCTTTTCTAACTTGGGGCCGGGAATCCGGGCGTGGAAAAGTGCAGGGACCCCAGCGCCGTCTGAGGGCTAGTTGTCACTGCACTCACGGACGTCAAAATAGCTGGACTAGCGGGTGGGGGCAGCCACCCGTCCCTTCGGTGCACTCCCGGCATATTCTTAGCTTTTTGTGCTATTTGCCAGCGAACGCGTCATAAAATGTGTTCCGACAGTGACATTTCCAGGTCCGCAGATTCGGTGCCCTTGTGTCCAACCAGGATTGTGCAGTAAGGGCCGGGCGCGCTGTGGCCGACGAACTCGCGTTCCCCAGAGGGCAGGGAGCCGGCAGGGCTGGGCTGTACCCTGCCACTCCGCGCGGATCGGGCACTGTCACTACCCCTCACAGGCCGGGCCCTGTCACTCCGCGCAGCTCTGCGCTCCCCCCACCTCTCGCGGCCAAGCCACGGCGCTCCTCTCCCGGATGGGCCGGCCGCTCTTCTCCATCCCATTCCACGCGAGGCCAGGCCGCGCCACGCAAGATTGCAACACTTAGGGGGAGGCTAAGGTCTTAGCACAGCGGATCTTTCTGAAATTAGGCCATTAACAAAATGGAAGTTGAAGGGCGTGCTGTTTTGTCATTTTTGACTCAACTCCAGTAGTTTTGTTTTATGATGTTTTCAAACCAAGGTAAAGCGTAGTCACCCTTAAGAAAGGGAGGGGATCCCGGTAGGAAAGTAGTTTGGTTGGATATATCATATTTCTGGCTGGCATTTTAACACGTTGTTGGGATTTTATTTTTTATGAGGAATTTTGATGTGAATATCTGAATCCTTCATAGAGCTTAGTTTGACTGTATGCCTGGGCACAATATGGTAGTTTCTTACTCATATAAAACTTTTTTTTTTTTTTTTTTTTTTGCTTACCTTAGTCTTAAGTAAATTTCTGTAGTTATTTACCCTAAGAGTCTCTCCTTAATTCCGTTCATTGCAAAGTGATTTTGTGGACGTCATACGGTAAATAAAATCACTACATAAACTTGATTTTGGAAAAAATGTAAAAATAGTATTTAAAAATGTAGCAAGAAGTCCCTTTTGATTTTCCCATCATATATTCTTTTGTATATCACAGTGTCATGTGAATACAACTAACTCATCCAAGGAACAGTTTCTGGGCCTTCTACTAAATACATGTTCTTTATTTGTTGAATGGGATTTTGTTGCTGTTTTAGGTCATTAAATACTTGTCCTGAATCAGATGACCAGGGTCTAGAGAATTCCCAGGTGTTGTTTTGTTTCTTTTTTTACTGTTTTAACTGGGTACTGAGGTTTTGGTGACATTAGGCTTAGTGCATAATTGTTTGCAAACTGTTCACATAATTCAAGTTGTTCCTTTGTTTAGTGTTCATTTTGTTTATAACTAACGTCACCACCCTTTCCAGGTAAGTTGTGATTTGCAGGGGTTGGAGTTTGGGGGAAAGGGAAGATGTTGACTCTTCTACTAAGCATAACTAACGCATCTGTTGAAACATATATATAGCTTAATGGAAATAACTCTAAGACTTTTCTGTTTGGCATATATATTTGGAACAGTTTATTGCTTTTTGCTTTTCTTTTAAATTCCTTAATTTTTTAATCTATTCATTTAGTTGAATTTGGGAAAAAGAACTGAAAATAAACTTTTTGTTTATTAATGATAAAGGAACTTAACACATCTTCATTTTCATACCTGCTTAAATTGCTGAGTTTTTATTTCGAGTTAAGTAGTTCATATTTCTTTTTATCCTACTATTATTTTCATAACTACTCTGGGCAACATATAACCCACTGAATCTTAGGTTTTAATTAAAATACTTGAGTGAGGCTCACTCTTGGAACTTAGTCTGTTTTGAACAGCTTACTGGTAAAGAGTCATGTTTGAACTTTATGACCTAAAGTTTGGAGAGTTTAAATAATGAGTCAAGCCTTTTTTTTTTTTTTTTTTTTTTTTAAATACTCTGTGAAGACTAATTTATAGCTTGCAAAGACCTGAAATGGGGAACTTCTGCTATGAACTTGGTTCTATCCAGGTCTTCTGTATGACCTCAGACATTTTAATATCTTTTCAGTCAGCGATGTCAGTGAGTAAATCAACATAAATGTCACTCAATAGCAACGTTAACTTAGTATTTCTGAAAGCCAGATGTTGAAGACATGCAGCTGACAGGTAGGTTGACAGTGGACCTCACTTCCTTCCAGTTATAAGGCAGGCAGAGAGAAACAAAGGGCTGAATTCTTCCTAGTCCTGGGCCCCGGCCCCTTTGCATGGCAGCTGCCATGCCTACAGCTGTGCATGCATGTGCTGCCTTTCAGAATTCGTTGGATTGCTGGGCGTCATGGGGCATGTTCTGGGCAGTGGAAAGTCCTGATTCCTTTACATGCAAAGTGGCCCCTTCCTCTCCTTCTGTGTCCCGGGCGCTCAGTCGTTCATTCAGCTAATGTTTGTGAAGTCCCTGCTGTGTGCCAGACACTCTGCTAGGTAGTACCGTGCAGTGTTGGGTGAAAAAGAAGCAGTAACTCTTCTCATGGCACCTGCAGTCTAGAGACAAACATTTAAATCAGCGAAGTTGCTGATCAGTGCCTAGATGGTTGGCACGAAATAGGCCCGCAATAAATATTCGTTGATTGGCCAACAAAGACTCACACAAACCTGCAGTGAAGGAAAAGAACACAGTGCTGTAAGAACACAGTTCGTATTGTCTCTGACCAGGGAGCATGCAGTTTTGCCACAGGCCAGAGATGTACACACCTGGGGCGTTTTGAGCTAGAGTTTTGGATTCTCCGCTTTGTAATTCAGTCTAACTTCTTACATGTCTGAACATGAGAAGTATCTTGGATGGGACAGATTAAACTTTTCGGGTGTAGAGGAAGGGAGGGTTTTATTGCTGGGCGTTTCCGATTATTTTTTATTTGAACCATAGAAAGGTTATAATCTGTAAAATCAAGGAAAGGCCAAATTTGGATGCATTTACTATCTTTTCCATTTCAGTCTCCTATTTATTAGTGTGAAAAATTGAATTTGCTTCTTAGCAACAAACAATGACTGTTGGCAATTTTTTTTTGCAAATGTTCTTTTCAAATACAGTAGAATATGATAGCAGAATGTGTTGTTGTCCTCCCCTCTTTTGGCTCCATACGAGCCCTGCATGAAGTTATTTTACCCTAAATTACCAACAAGGGCTCTGCTTTATAAAATGGGCTTAGTGGGAAGAATGAGAACTGCGCGACCCATCGGTTTTACCAGGTGACCGGGCCCACCGTGTCATCTCTCTGGGGTGTGGTTCTCATGGCTTTCAAAGGGGGTGTCATGACATGGGTGATCCTCGTGCCGCCTAACCTCCCAGGGTTGCTGTCCAGAGCAAATGAGAGCAGTAGAAAGGGAGCAGCTCTGTGCAGCAGGTGAGCCCGTGGTCCTTGTGCCACTGGCAGAGCAGGGCTGACAGCTACATCCGCGTTTCTCGCGGAGGAACCACTGCGTTTGGGCGTGTTTCGTCAGTCAGTGGTTCTGGATGTTTACGACGCCCCCATGGAGGATCAGAAGCGGCAGTGAGTCTCTCCCCTCTCCCTTCCCGTGGGGAGCCTCTGTGCCGAGTCGGCTTTTCTGTTGGCTTAGTTCTAACCTGTTGACTTTCCTATTCACATCAAATGAGGAGGAAAGTAGAAAGGGAAAGTTACTTAGAACAGCAAGTAGTTTTATTGCTGATACCTGGGCAGTAAAGAAGACAGAAAATTTGTAAGAAAACCAGTAATGAACTACAGAGAGCACAGTTCCTAAGGTTACTCAGCAGGTTCACGTAATGCTTTATAAGAGCTGTAAATAGCCCCTGAGAGTATCAGCTAGTTTATAGTATTTATCCAGGTGACTTGTAGCCACCACAGAACAGTTAAATTATAATCAGTTTATAAAGGAAATATTTCATCTGTCTCTGCAGTCAAAATTGTTCAAATAAAAAACCTTGGTACTGTGACAAACACTCAAATTCTTTGACATTGTACATGTTTGAAGTTCTTTTCTCAAAGGCAACAAAGCCAATAAAAATTTATAGTCACTTTAGGGAGTTAAGGGATCCACACACAAAATAACTAGGCCTGAGGTAGTTGATTTTGGTTTTTTTAAAAGTGCTAAACTAAAGGACCATTGGCGGTAGGAGAAGGAAGGGGTAACTCGGGGCTGGGGCGGCTGGGGCGTCTTTATGGGGTGGTGTGGCAGGCTGGGGACGTCTCAGAGCAGAAGGAAGCAGGGAGGACGTGCAGGGGAGCCTCCAGGGCTGTGAGCAGGTCAGAGATGTTGCGAGTGTGTGGATGGCCTGCCCCCCAAGTACTTGACAAGTGCATGCCGTATCTGTGTCAGATAAGATACGGTTCTGGGCGCTGAGGTTCCAGGTCCCTGGTCCCATGGAGTTGACAATCTAGAGAGCGAGGAAGTCCGCCAACCAGGTAAACAAGACAGGTCTTGTAGTGTTACTAAAGTGTGTGTGTGTAAAGTATGCCATGACTGTAGACTGGGTAGTCAGCAGTGGCTTTTTTGGAGGCTGTGGCATGAATGACCCAGGATGGGATCCATCAAGTTCTAGGGGCTGAGAGCTCCAGGAAGAGGAAGAATCTGGGTGTTACTATTAGCATTTTGGGAAATTTATTGCTGAGGTGGTGCCTAGTGAGGGCTACCTAGTAACTCGTGAGTATTTTTGAGTTATGAAACTCAATTCTGCAAAGAGACGCATTGGCCCCTCTTCTACCAGGCACTGCATTTAGTGTTTGGATTGGTAGAGAACGTTAGAGAGGTGGCTCAGAACTATCTGGGGGGAGCTTGTCCATTTTATT